ATATTAAAGAATTTCAAGCGTTATTCGGTTCCGATGCGCTATCACTTTCGATTTATTAGATATCTATTTGCTTTAAAATCGCTCATTAGATTTTATCAATCTCATAACATCAAATCTATGACTTATAACCATGTGCTGACGTCATATCGTCAGTCAGTCACTTATATATAGCAATATTGCTAAAATTGAGGTTTAAACGAAAGATGGGTTAACATACATTTACCGAAATTTTTTCCGATGTATGTATATATACATATGTATGCGTATAGATTTTTTCTCTATATATAATAGATGGAGATATTTTAATAAAGAAAAAAGTCAGTAGATATTTATTAAGCTTCACACTAGTTCTTAAAGTAAACAAATACCCAGAAACAAAATTCGCGATATCAACGCGATTCGCGATTCGCGATTTTTTGTCTGCATTCTCCTATTGAAGTTCTTAAAGCTCACACTAGTTGGCTACGCGAAATCAAATGAGTCCAGCAAAAATAAACATACTTGAACTTATATAGCGCATAATATATGTATGTAGAAATACCCGTCCATATGTACTTCTGTATACATAAATATATATATACTTATTCGCACTTCTAGAATTCTGCCAAAAAAATCTCATCCAAAAGAAGGTTACGTCAAACAAATGTATGTTCTCTGCACTTTTGTGGGTACGAGCCGCGGCAGAACACCTACACATGCATAAAAAATGTGTGGGTGTGTGTAGGAATACTTTGACTTAGATAATCGTTTTAGTGCATAGTAAATAGCAGAAAACACTAAATTGATTGGCAAATACAAATATGTGTAGAGTCTTCCTATTGAGTTTAGATGCAAAATTAAAGTGCACTTTTATTATTAATGTATTTGTAAATTTATTCAACAAATTTTTTTTATTTAATTTGTGCACTTTAATTATTATTGTATTGTAAATTTATTTACCAATTTTTTTAAATTTAATTTGAATGAAGACATAAATAAAAAATTTCAAATATAAACAATACATTACAATATGGAACATATTTATTACACAAAGCAATCAATATTGAATTTGAAATTATAAATACACAATTTTTTGCAAAACTATATAAATTCTTTACGATATTGCAATTATAAAAAATTTTACGTTCACAAAAATGCTGAAAACCTAAAAATTTAACTCATCCCTTCATTTAATTTGGCAGTTTTATATTCCTAATTTTTATAACCATATATAAACATATAAAACGCTTTTAGTTATTTATCCATTGAAGCGCCATAATAAATAGAGTTCAAAGGAATTTTGTTAGAAATTAAAAAATTCACGGTCATTTGGAAAAATAAAATTTTTTATGAAGAGAAGAATATATAAAAAATAAATACAAATATTTTTTTTTGTTTATTGTTTGGAGATATCAGACTGGCTGTAGAAGCACATATGAATATACCTACATATGCGCTTATATATAACCCTATGAGCATATTACTCACATTAGCACGAGTCACAAGGCAACCTCACTCATACGAACATAACTAAGCAATATTGAAGGGCCTAAGGAAAAGCGAGCTTACAAAATATATATTGCAAATGTTTTAAGAATATAAAATAAAAAAGATATGCGCGCTTTAAATATATTAAATATTTTTTACAATGTAAGAAAAAATTAATATAAATTAAATATAAACATTTTTAAATGTCTAAAAAAAATTTCATGAAAAAAAAAAATTTGAAAAACAAAGACGGAAATAAAATAAAAATAAAATTTTTTGTGATTAAAATATCATAAATAATTTAATGCATGTTAAGAAAACAATTAAAAAATTAAAAAAAGAATATTGTTTTATAAATAAACCAGTGCCCATTAGAAACGAAATATAAGAAAAATAAGCGGGGTTCAATACTTAAGGGTTAAAAACTACGAGTCTCATAGAAAAAACTTAAATGGCAAAATTGTAGGCAAAAAGATCTCCAACTTCTGTAATCATAATTTTTTCACATAACCCCAAAATTTATGTAAAACATTCCATTATCCAAGCTTGTGTGTTTTTTTCTCTTTTTTCGACTTTAATTCAAAACAAACCTTATGTTCTATTATAAATTCTCAGTCAAAATATCAGATAAAAACAGTAAGCTTTATGTTGGTTAAAATCTCTTTATTTTCACGGTGTAAAAAATGTTTACACTTCTATATTAAATTTTCTCAGAAATTGTAAAACAAAAGTAGATTTGAATAGAAATTATGGTTTTTTTCTTTCAAAAATTATGTAATGAAAATGAAAATTGGTATTTTATTATGTATTGCACAAGTATAACAAAATATTTAAGTACTTGTAGTTAGTTATATATGACTGTATATTATTAATTGTAAACGTATTGTAAATTTATATTGAATTGAATAACTTTTAATGCCGAATTTCCAGCAGGGATGCTAAAGCGTTATTGTATCTTAACGGAGCCGGCAGTATTGTATATGTATACACGTTTATATGTGTGCTTGTATTCTTCACTACTTTAACATAGAAAAACACGAGTGGCAACAAAAATTGTTCCACAAATATCACCGCACTAAATCACCTACCCATTCGAGTCTTCGTGTATTTCTATTTTTATCTACTCCAACAATTAAATTTTAAAGTGCTTGCGCTACTACAACAACAAGCACGCACACATTCTGCAATAATGGCTTGCTAATTCATTTGCCTTTGCTGCTGCTTATTTGTACATTCTTCTGATAACAAGTAACGCAAACAAAAGTGCCCAAACAAAAAAGAAATGCGAACACAATCAGAGCAAAAGAAAAAAATATAACAAAATAGAAAAAGCGCAGAAATTATCGCATGTTGCCATTGCTCATAGCTGCTTATCAAACTCAGCTGATTCTGACTGCTTGTTATTCTTGTTGTTGAATTATAATTCATTATAGCGCTAAACTTCCCGCGGCCTCTCGCCCATGCAACAACTTATCGGCAAGGGAAAAGAAACCGGTTATCGTGCAGTAAAAGTGTTATTCGCATTCTTTCGAGGTTATTTATGCGCTTAACTCTTGCAGGCATGGGTATTTCTATACTTCTGATAAACTCAAGCACTTCTATGGAAATATATTTTTAAATCGAAATGCACAGTGCAGGCGTTGTGCTGTTGGATGGCTGATAAACGCAATTCAGCGCTTGTACGCGATGATAAGCGCCGAGTGCACACACATATATATACAAATGTATGTATATAAGTATACATAGCATGTATATAAGTATGTGAGTATTTTTTGCATGGCCTCAATGCATAGCTTTGATAAAAACTAAAGTGTGCAATAATTACTGAATTAATGCTCTTATGTGGACATGAATTTTAAGAACGAACTGCAGAAGTTGTGATTATTTAATCATCTACCGAGGACTCGGAGAAGCTGATTTTTTGCACGCGAAAACTGTTTTATCAAAATATATTTTTGCCGAAGGCCAAAAGCAGCCACCGCGCTATCTCCGTAAGCACAACACTAATATAATTATAGATTTTCCTTTTTGTAAATGTTCACAAATAGCAAAAAAAAAGCTTAATTAGGACGTAGTTGTTTACATTTACTGAAAAGCTCAACAAACCTAACTTTTTCGGAAATTATGAAATATAAACACATCTCTTACACTCACTTATTTTATCATATGACATATCTATACACAATTTTTTACACCCTGAACAGAGTATACGATATTTGTAACATCGCGAAGGAAACGTCAGAGACCCTATAAAAATAGAATATAAATGATCAGCATGACCAGCTGAGTCGGTTAAGCCATGTACGTCTGTCTGTTCATCTGTATATACCCGAACGAAATGAAGATAAAGATATTTTTATACCCTTTTCTCCCATAAGAAATGTATCTGTGATGGGTATTAAAAGTGGTCAAAGTTTTTTCTTTTTTTTCCAAACTACAGTGTGGAAAAAAGGTGTGAAATATTACAACGATTAGTATTAGCTCACAAAAAATTAGTATTTCGAAAAAGAATACTATCCAGTGCCCTAAAATATAAAAATACGTAATTAAAGCTAATATTAATATTTGATCGCTTTGATTATAAACACGCCAGTTTGCTTAAAGAAATCATTGAATATTGCAGAAACTATCTAAAAGTTTATTGACTGCTGGAGGAAGAAGATTCGTTTTTATTTCTATTTAAACCACATGCTAGAATTTTATTGCTTCTAGCTAAGTGGCGTACGGTAACACACTAGGGTGTGTCAAAATGTTTGGTTGAAAGAAATAATGCGAAAGACATAGAGACAAGATGAAGACTCAGAAGTAGAAAAATCGGAAGCCATAACATTTTTTATATACTCGTACATGCCATATATTGTTTTCATTTTCAAACATAACCAATGTTCACACCATTTTAATTTGTCATATATTCTTGAGTATACTGAAAATAAAGTGGGACAAAAGACGTTTACTTCTTGTCGACACGGTGGTCGGTTTAGACAGTTTGAACATTTAAAACTGAATTAATAATCGTATTTAGCTTTTAAAAAATAAAATAAATAAAATAAAAATTTTTATTAATTCATTTCACTAAACCAATTTTTCCTCTTTGATCTGATTATGCTTTTTCTTCACATAAAAATAATTTATGAAATTCATTTTTCCACACATACATATATAAATATAGCAGTCTGCATGAATTTGAAAATGTGTTTTGTTTCGGTTTTGTTTACATCCATTTTCTATTTTCCATTTAAAAATAGTACAGACATAAACTATATGCTAAAACGCGAAATATTTTAATTTATTCTAAACAAATGCTACAGAAGTTGAGTTTTCAGGCAGCCACACTATTTGAGTGAAATTAAAAAAAATATATAAAAAAAAGCTATTAATTATATCAGTTTTTTACAAAGTGAGTGGTTAAGGAATTCTATAAAAAATTAAACAAATTACTTTTTGCACTGATTTTTGTTGTTTGTTATTTTCACATATAAACATTCTTGTTTTCTGGTCACTTAACTAAAAGTTTATAAATAGCGCACACCTACCTGTTGCCATTGATCCTCAATAGATGGTTGTGATGAGAAATAGCCAGTGGTGCAGACGTGCTCCAATTCGCTGAATATATTCCCGCTCGGTAGTATATCCATATTGAGATCCATGCCATGAAAATCCAACAACTCCGTTTTCATTGAGTTATTTTACACTTTTGTAAAAAATAATTTTTGAAATTTATAAAACTTTTCTGATTATTTTGCAAATTGTATGCACTTTAAGTTTATGACTTTTTTACACAATTTTTACACACACTAATTTTAATTTTAAATTCTTTATTAAATTTTACAATAAATACTACTATTTTTTTAAGTTAACACTTTATTTTTCGTTTTTCTAACGAATTCACTGTATTTTGGTTGACAATGGTTGTGCCTTCTCGGCTAATTTGAAGCGTGCCTGTAAATAGAAAAAACAAATAATTTAGTGGTAGTTCAGTTTGTAAAAAATATATTATATTTAATTTTATTTAGCAAATAATTATTAATAACATAAAAAAATAATTGGCGACTAAATTTGGATGCAAAATTTGTATAAAAACATGTATGGAGTAGATACATATACACATATGTCTATACATATAAATAAATTATTATTAAAAAAAAATCGATAATTAGATGTACACATTTGCATTTTTACCTGCCTACATTTTTTCTAAAAACGCATTGACAAACGCATACCTACATCTGCGTATTTATTGTTAAAGTATGCCTTCTTCGACATTTCTTCGCGTACCACGTGATATCGTCTCTATCTCTGTCAAAAGCCTTGTCTAACCGCCAAGCAACATAGCAAAAGCTTATACTTATTGATATATACAAGTATGTATATATATTTAAATACATATATATTTATATATACATTCGATTACTCGATTTACCCATTTCCAAAAAGTATACATTCAGACATATATTCATTTTTAATACACGTTTCATGTGTATTCTCGGCCATTTGACCCTCTGCATTTTTGTTTTTGTTGCACTTTGCTTTTACCATATTTCATTAACCTGGTTTTCCTACTACTCTACTCGTATAACCGAATAAACCAACGGCACCGACGAACAACAACAACAGCGAATGCGAAGAAAAAGTACACAGAGACTGAGAAAAATATTTTTAATGTTTGTATGTACACAGAGATGTTTGTATGTATTTATATGTCGATATTCTACCGAGCTATGAAAATTTCGGGTCAGTGAACTTCTGTAAGCAGCGCGAGCTCGCGTTCCCCTTTCTTGGTAGCTGAGAACTACAGTAATAGTTACCAAAAAATATTCAAAATAAAGTAATGATATTCACAACAATTATGAATATTCATGTATGTGTTATTGTTGGCGAAGTATCAACTATATAAATAGGTCAGGTCGCATTATTACGGTTTTATTTTTATGTTTTTTTTATTTTTATGATATATAATTATAAAAATTAAAAAAAAAAATATGAAGAAATTATAAATGCATTTTATAAGTAAAAGGCATTTTATGATAAAACTCTTTTCAATTTCTTTATCAAACTATTTTTTAATTTTGCGCATAATTGTTTATCATCGATTTACTTCCCTGCTTAAGTGCCTTTTTAGCTCGATTTCAAACAAAAATACCGCCACATATACTATACTATACAAGTATATGTATGGATGGTTTGGGGTTAATAATGGAAAGCAAAGCAAATTTTTATGTTTTTTTTTTGGAAAACTGCAATCCGCTAATATTTTTCCCGGCAAGATATGTCCAATATTGGTTTTTATATTTATTTCCGAGGGCTTGTTGCAAGCCCATACAAGTAGTAGAAAAAAATACATTCAAACCCTTTTACTTACTAATTACTTAATGACTGACTTGCTGAAGTTTCATTATTCTCTCATTAATGTTTTAGTTCCACCATTTAACACCTCAAGCGTTATTCCGCACTTTGAAACCTTTAACGACGTTTTCTATATTTTGAATAACGCTTCTTTTAGTTTGACTTCATTTCCAAAGCTTTAGAAAGGTAATATCGCTATTATGCTACAAAAACTCGCTATGTTGAATTAACGCTTGAAACGTTGATTTGGAAATCGTTCAAAAACCCAGATCACAGCCTCTTTTCCGTAGATACACAGAATTTTTGCTCGGTTCCTTCCATGGTTTTTCTTAATCATTCGAACTGATTAAGTGTTGCGAATAATCCCTATCACAGACTTGGAACTTCAATGTTTTTGAATAATTCACCATAATTCATTCAAGTCCATTCAACACCAGCGGTCGCTCGCTTCGAAAAATGTCCTCAAAACATACTCACCAATAAACAAACATATTTTTTGTTAATATATTTTGTGTTTTTCTTTCACTTTGTGGCTTTCCACACTTCAACAGTTAATGTCTGTCAATTCATATTCGTTATGCATTCGAAATTTATTGGCCTTTTCATAAGTCTGACCAGACCTGCTTCTTTTTGTACCTACACATGTAGTATTTAAGTGCAATACCCTTCTCTTCAACTTCTTTATATTTTTTCATTGCGTCAATTATCGCCTTTTGAATATTCTCAGCCATTACATTCCCCTTCAACCCCCCTCTACACTTTTACATCGCACCTCTTCTGTTCTCTGCTGTTTGTTTTTATTTTCTTTTCATTTTTGTTTTGGTCTCGAATTTGTGTGCTGCGTTTACAAGTTTGTGTCACAAACACCTTAACAAAATACAAAACCAAATTTGATGAAGAGGTAGAGGAAGAAATTCAAACAAATTTCAATACCAAAATAAGTAGCTTGGAAGAGTAAAAAGAGATTAAAAGCAAATAAGGAGTGGTTAAATTTATGTACAGTTGCATGTTATCGACAAAATGTTAATAACTTCTTAACTTAACTTAACGTTTTTAACAGTATTAGTTACACAAAGTGTCTTTCTTTGTATAGTTTATGGAATAAATTTTAACTGAAGAATCCATTGAGAAATGACTAAGCAACTTCCATGGGAGATTTTGGTCTGGTTCCGATTTGTAAACCTATTATACTATAATAATTATATGTTGTTAGCAATTTTATTTTCAAAATCGTTGGGTGATTTCATCAGCTTGTTTCAACTGGTTCTACGTTACGTGATACCAAAAGGTTCATCACACACGACTCATTGTTGAGAGAATTGTATAGAACAATTCATGCCGTGACACAAACTTGATCGTTTAATTTAATTTTCCATTATTTTGTTATAAGCCTCGGCTGGCACGGCCTTCAGTGCCTCTTTTCGGTTTCGGCTCATTTTTGGAGCACTATTCACTCGATTATTGGACAGTTTCGACGTCATATTCATAAGCCCACGTCTCTTCAGTAATGGCGACAAACAGCTGCCAAACTCACACTAATTGATATATGGAGATCAAAAGCACGAACTTTAAAAAAGGGTTTACCAATCTAGGAAACAAATTTTTATTGGTTTCGTTTGCACGCGCATTTAAATAGACCAGTACGAGTCAAATTTGATAAGAGGGTGTATTAAAAAGTTTTGAAAAATTTAATGATTTTTAGAAATACTTAATTTGATGAAAGAATGCATATGCGTTATCTAAATAAGTCAGAATTCTTTAAAAAGGTAATTTATTAAATAAAAGGTGTAACGACAACTAAACCCTTGGATAACTTAAAAAAAAAATTATAAATTATTTATTATACAGTTTTTCCCCAAATGAAGTGGCATTTTGAACGAATGTTTAGTTATATGAGGTTGGCATACAAAAAATTAAACCAAAATTCGGAAATTCTTCAAATTTGTTATTTTTATGCAAGTATTAAAACTTAAAGCAACTCCATGCTATCTATTCAATAGTTCGATAAATAAATATAACCGATATTTTTAGATTTTTATGGTACACAATTCTGAGAGCACCTTATAAATTAATTCGTTGTAGTTTTAATAAGGTTATTTCTGCTCGAGTATGGAAAACGATAACTCAATGAAAGTTCTAAAAGCCACCATGTTAACCTATATGTTTATTTATCTTTTCATATTATATAAAGTTTGTAACGCGATACCTACAATAATTTTATAAACAATTTCTTTCTAAAAAGTAGAACAAATTGATGGTCGTTATAAATACAAAAATAAGGGGAATAGCATTTTGAAGCCATTAATTGTAAGCTCTCCAATATTATATTTTTAAGTATATATTAGATTGTGAGTGTGTGTAAGGAAAACTAAAATTAAAATAAATTAGAAATATTAATATAAAAAGTTTTGCATAAAACTATACATTCTAGTTAGAGAGATTAATTATGCAAATTTGCAGACTTGTATATCGATGAATGGTTGCAAAATATTTTTTAAGCTTTTTGAGCTGTCATTCAGCGTTCTGCATTGCATATTTTATTTAAATTTGCATAAATTTTTCATAATTTTTTGTTTGCTTCTCCTTTCATATGAATTCCCAATAGAGCTGAACGTGCCTGTATGTACATTCATATATACATAAGTATATACAAAAGTATCGGAATGTGTTTATTCCAGAGGCATTAACATCCGGCTTTGCTTGTACGCTTGTGTACCTCAGCGTACGCACTACTTTTCAAAATTTACACGTCTTCCTTCACACCACTTCACTAGTCGACGCCGTGCAGCCCTTACTTTTGTACCTATTTACACATTTTCTGTTTTATATTTTTCAACTTTGACTTAGCTGCATCACCTTGCTACTGGTTTGTTTGTGTAAACAGCCACACGAGCTGGTATGCGTGTGTATTTCTGTATTTGTGTATATGGTGTAGGTGCATTATAATGCGTTCCCATTTGCTTTGATGCTATTAATGCGCTTTTGTTGTTGTTGTGTTTGTTTTGACTCTCTTGTGCTGGCGTTTGACTGCTTTGACTTGTTATGAACACGCTCTCATTGCTGTGTTCCAACACTTTTATCACTTTTTATGTGTTTTTCTGTTTTTATATAGGATTATATATTTATAAGTGTATACATATGACTGTATGTGTGTATGAATTCCCGTATATTATGCACAAGTGGTATGAATGTGGCTTCGATGTTGCTTCACGCTTCCTTTTGTTGCATATTTGCTTTTGTTCTGCTTTTGTGGCAAGTTTGTTGTATTGAAATTCATTCCTGCCACATGCAACAGTAGCAGCCACAACCAACCAGCCAGCAACTTTTCCATATAACAACAAGCCTTGACAACATACAATTAAAAAAGCGAAAACAATGCTAATACCAAGCGCAACAAACACTACAAAAACAGCAAACAACTGGTCACTAGTGTCTGCAACACGCAATAGCGGAAAATTCTATTTCACTTGCGTCGTATTATGACTTTTTATTCAGCTGCTTTTCTCACATGTCTGCCCATATTTACACGCATCTACTTTTCTCGTGGCAAATTTCGTTGTTGTTGTTTGGTTTACTTTCAGCATCTGCCTCTACCC